AGAGAGAGAGAGAGAGAGAGAGAGAGAGAACAAGAAGATGAACGACAGCATTGTTATCATTCCTTTAATCACGGTCTTTGTTGCCTCAACGTTCCCTTCCTCGAGGAGGATTTCTCGAAGGCAGTTTCGTTCGAGGAGCTTCGTTTTCGAAAGAGACGACGTGGGGGTGGAATGTTGCGTGCGATGTATCGTACGTTTGAAATTATAGGCCTATCTACTTCTTGGTTTATACGTTATGATGTGGGTCCAATTTACTGATTTCTACGAAGTTGAACAATATTTATTTTACGTACATCGTAAATTTGGATTTCTATATAGTGGGGAAGAGTGGAAAAAAAAGATTTTTAATCTCAACATTATTATTACTTAAAAATGTTTAAATGTTTATTGATCCAAAACAATTTCTTTTTTTAAACCACTTAGGATATTTAGAGATCCATCTTTCAAATCCATTATTACAAAAATTTGCTTTATTGAATTATATATAAAAATAAATAATCTTGTTTATTTTTTTTTTTTTTTTAATTTTCTCCGCGATAGACCATGAAACAATTTATTGAAGTAAACGAGTGCAACATTTTCAATGTATCTAGATTTTGCGTTTTCTTTAAAAAAAATTTGCCAACAGATTGAGAAACACTGTTCTCAGTTCGAGTATTCTATTTCTATGGTCGTTATTGATGCGTTCAACCCCACAGTACCGGAACTCGGTACACCGTATCTTTTGTCAACAATTTCCCGTCGCGTTTACATTGTACAACGAGTCGGTTGACAAAGATGAAAAATCATCGAAAGGATTATAGTTATTATTATTCCGGTTGCATCGCGATTGTGATGGCGATTTGTTCGAGACTCTGCGGCCTCCCGGCTTCGACAAAAGAATCGGTGGTGCCTCCCTTTCTCGCGCTCTGGTGCCAACCTTTTGTACGATGGCGAATTCCCTCCGCCTTTGATGGCTCGTTTGTAAATTATTAACGGGATGTAGCGATAGAGATGGGATCAAGTTCAACTTGCACTTTTCGAGTTCGAGTCGGATTTCAAAAGTAACAATATTTGGATGATTATATTTAATTGTACATGCTGATGTACAGAAAGAAATGAGTATTTACGAATTTTGAAAAAAAAGTGGATGAAATCGAATCTTAGAAATCAGAAATCGTAGAATTTTTAATTATTCAAGAATAATATTTCGTTTACAATGTTTGGTTACTTTTTTTTTTTATATTTTATTTTACTTTTTTCGAAGATATAAAAAGAGTTATAATCAAGATTTTAAAGTAACAAAGGGATTAGCAAGATTGGAGAATCTTGATTGATTCGATTATACTTATATTAAATTATATTATTTTCATTTTCTGAAATACTTATAAAAATCTATTTCAAGTGTATTTCACGTAGATTTAAACGTATTGTCTCGAATAATATCTATAGAAAATTTGAATCCAATCGAGATAAAGTTCGAATGCATTTATGAGACGCTTGATCCCATCGCTAGGCGCACTAGCTTATCGTTTCGAGATGAACAATATCTGTAAATCATAGCCAAGCCCTTTTCGCATTGTCGATTCGTAAATTGTTGGCCACGAAGAATCGTATGCGGTGCATAACCTGTAATTGCTTAAGCAAGTATGATAGCTTAAGGACAATCGTAGTTCTTTGGCCAAGGTTGCTTTTAACATTGTCACGAGAGTCTTACGCATCGATGCGTCTTGCGATCGATACGCGTTGGATACTAGTTTATATCGAAGATGGACGCTGTTTGAAGCTGCCCACGAGTTTGCGTTTTGTTAGTCATATCGTCGAGGTTTCTGTGTCGCGTGTTGCATGGCATAAATTATGAGGCTGCTCAAGTTATAGTTAGAAGAAGCTTATTTCGATTATTTCATGCGTTGATTTTGATGCAAATTTTAGGCAATGCGTGTAATTTCTCTTTCTTCTTAAGAATTATTTATCTTCAAATATGTTTGACGCAATCCACAAGCTCGCCCATCTTTTTTTAGTTATTTGTAACTTAGAAACTGACTTGAAATTCATTAGAGACATTAATGTAATGAAAATTTTATGTAGCAGTCTTTTTCATTCATTCTTCTCGATTGATAATGGAAGAAGATTGATAATAGATATCATCCAATCATCATTTATTTATTTAAATATGTTTATTCTAAATTCTCCTTTCCTATTGTATCCAATTATACACACTTTGTGTAAACAATCCTGTAGATTCACAAAAAAAAAATTTCAGAAAAAGAAAACCTCCTTTCTACAGTGTTTGCAGAAGACTTCGTTGAAAAAGAGGAATGCATCGAGTTTGAAACAATGGTGTTTCTGTTGTTCGAGGGTCAACGGACATAGCAAGACAAGATACGCAAGTCTTTGACCGGGATGACACGCAGAAATGCCATGCTTCATCTTGATGCCTGGTAAAACCTTAATTGCATTGCAGATTTTAATTACATAATGTTAAGCTGTTCGTACTCTGTTATTTTAACGGAATATCCCTGGGAGGATAAGTAAACCGAATTGTGGAATAATGCATAGTTTCAGATTGATGCGATCGTGGAAAGACAATGTAAAGTCACACTAATTTCACATCCTGTCGCGTGTTAATTCGCATTCACTTCGTGATGAATTAATTTCTAGTAGAAACTAGTTGCATGGATCTTTATCGGCAAATTACAGCGAATAAATACACATTTATCTTGACACGTTTATCGGTCGTAATTCAAGAATCATATTAATGGGAACGAGTTATAGCATGGGATTAGAGATGCTTGTCGAATTGCAGATTATTAAATTAGGATTATTAAATTATTTTGTAACCATGATTTTAAATACTTGTTGATTTTGAAATGTATCAATTTATAATATATACGATTAAAAGGAACAATTAAAATTCATAATAAAAGAAAGGATTAAAAGGTGAAGAAATGAAATAAAAATTGAAACTTTAATATCTTCATGATATTTTTCTCTTAACCTGTAAGGATGCATAAATTTCTTGCAACAAACCTCGCACACCAATGTTCTTACTCTTTGAATGCGTTCATATTTCAAAATCCTTGCAATAGCAGTTCACAAGAGTCAATGTGGTCACGGGATAGACGAAGGTTTCAAAGTTGCAAGGTAAGGCGTGTCGAGACTAGTGATGGGATCGAGTACCATATATATTCATAAATCTGGATCAAATTCGATGAAAGAATATTAGAGAGAAGTAATACTACTCAAGAAGATGAACATAGTCATTCGTTATACAATTCAATCACGAGAATTATAATAATTACTGTCAAAAATAACGAATAAGAAAATTGATGTTTCTAGTAAAATTTCGAATTTATTCGATCAATGTTCGATTCTATTCGTATTTTTTTTATAGTCTCACTCTATGATTCAATCTTGAAAAGATACTTATGAATTGAAACCTGTTGCGACTCGGCCCCATCGCTAAATCGAATAGAAAAGGAAAGAGACGCTTCGAGACAGAAGAAAGCCGAAGAATGGCGGATCATCATCTTCACGCGAGCGAGGCGAACTTATGTAACGCTTTCATACAAGACAAGGCCAAGGTTCTCGCGATGCAGCAGAGGTTGAGCATGTACTGTGTGGTCCCTCCGTTTCATATTGTTTTATGGCAACAGTCGGCGACGCATCTAATTACGTCTATCGAAAGAAACGTGGAGGATCTTGTTCCCTGGACCACCAAGATGGTGGAATTTCGAGTAAGGAGGTTGTTGTAACGCGTAACAGGACAATGCTCGATTGTATAATTTTAAAGGGCCATTCCGTGGGGATGAGGAACGCGACGTGTGTCGCGTAATTATTTCTCTCCCTATTGAAAAATTTAAAAAGCTTCTCCTTACGAGGATTGTTTGACGTGGACTCGAAGGTTTAGAAGGATTGTTTGCGGAGATTTCAGATTCTCTATTGTAGTTTGAAGTAGTCTTAGCTATGCTTTATTTATACAATGACTCGTTAATTTTTTGAACCTAGCGATGTGTGAGAGATTATTATTCTACGTGTATGAGATTTCTTTATTATTGAATCGATCATTTTTTAATATATCGAGACAGTTGATAGAAAAATAAATTTTATTTTAATAAATAGTGGAAAAAATTAGATAAATTATATTATTTACGAATATTGTATACGAGAGAGATAATATCAAATTTAATACAATAGCTTATTATAGTGAGTGTAAATTATTATGCGATAAATAAATACATTTTTTGTTTCTATTAAATATAAAGATATATTAAAAAACAATTAATAATTAAAAAAGTAATCAATAATTATTATAAACAAATATATAAAGCAATAATCTCTCATACATTGTGATATCTGAATTTTAATGAGATTCATTGTTCAAAATAGTTTATATTCCTTCTCATATTAAAATACTCCAAATAATATCAGAATCTAAAAATCAACGTTAATCAAATTATCATATTTCCTTGGCGTAATCTTGAAATTAAAACACATTGTAACAATTTACATTCAACGCATAAACTTCGCGAATAACGATCTTGAGGAACGATTAAATTTATATTTTATCGTGCAACTCTTCTACATATAATACCACCAAAAAAAAAAAATTATTATTATTTTCAGTCAACGTAAATTGTTGCACAATTATCATCCATAAATACGATCCTTATTTTCAGATTTTAGAAAAAAATAAAAGTTTCTAAATTTACCCTATTGTTCTTTGTTCTCCAATGTTAAATATTCTCTACGAGGCGTACAACTGACATTGAAAGCATTCCTTCTCGTTAAGTCTATCAGCTCGAATCTTATCTTTCGAGAAGAAGGTTTTCTTCCGTTTTCTCACTTTCGTTGCTCTCCATCGCTGGAAAGCACACACACCTTTTGTTTTGTTTCGTTGGTTAATAACGGGAAAGGTTGGAACGTGGTACAGGTATCGAGAAATTTTTAACGAGTTTCATGGAACTTGGGTGAGAACGGTTTTTATTCCGTTATTTTTTGTCGCTCTTCTTGTCATTTGGTATTCGCGGTCGCTGCATGTGGGTCATTCCATGCTAAATCGATTACTTTTGTACTTTTGTTCTGATTTTTATTTCAAATTTTTTAGCAATTATTTTTTTATTAATGCATAGAACATATATATATTTGTAAGTTATTATTTTCTAAATTGAATAATTAATTTTTTTGTGTTTTTAAAAAAAAATAATAATTCCATGTTATAAATGAGATAAAATTTCATAAATGAAAAATTAAGAAATTTTTAAATTCATGCGATTGAACGTAAATACGATAATATTGTGGATAATTATCCTGACAACTTCGAAGGATAATTGCTTTGATAATTTAGATTTAAAATGCAGTGTTAATCGATATGAAAAAGAGTTACCTATGCAAAAAAAAAAAAAAGAAAAATAAAAGATTAATTTCTGTCATATAACAAAAAAAGAAAATACAAAATACAAAATATAAAAACTCTTTATTTTTCGAATAATTAATAAAAAATTTTATCTAATTAACTAACACAAAAAACGTGTTACTAATTGCATAAAAATAATTCTTTTTACGTAATACACGTATATATTTAAACACATTATGTGATCATAAAACAATCATCATCGATGAAAAAATATTTTTTCCGTTGCCTTCCTATTACGTTTTCGAATAATATTTCCATTTTTTATCATTTCCATTATATTTTTCGAATTATAACGATTGTCTTCTACATCCGTGTTTACATAATTATTCATCGGAAAAAATATTTCTGTTACTCCATCCGGAAAGTGGATTGGCTATCGAATATTACAGGTGTAATATCTTATTTGGTGGTTTTAATTTTCCTTTCTCGATTATTCGAACTTAATAACAAATTAAACAATCAAATATTGAATTATTCATCAAATTTTACTCGTGCTACGCACGATGCCCATGAAACGGATTTTCTCTTAATAGATGCAGTCTCGTTCCTTCTTCGTAAATCTAATGCGTTCATCGCGAAGCACGTCAGAACTATTTCCGGTATATAACGGAGCCGAAGTGTAGGCATTCGAATATCCGGAGAGGAAATTAATAATTGCGATAATGTTTGTGTGTTTATCATATTTTAGTCTCTTTGATAGAATTTTGAATTTTAATAACTCCAAATTCTAATATTTAATCTTTTTTTCTTCTTTTTTTAATTAATACTTTGATAATTAATACTTGTTTATATTTCATGTAAGAATTTCTGGGCATTATGTTATTCACTTTTTCGAATATTTATGTGTGTCTAAAAGATATAGGAAATTTTTTTTTAATATTATTTTTTTTCATCAAATCAAATTTTTTTAATATTATTTTTCGTATAAAAAAATATGAATTATTAAAAGGAAATTTTTTTCATTATTATATATAATTTCGATTCTTTCGTTTCATCCTAATTGATAATCTTCTCGATCAAAGAATTTAATCATTTGATTTCGATCGTTCCAATCTTTTCCACGTGTTCAACACATTAATTATTATTAATATATAATTAAATTTTGAACAATTGTACGGATTTGTAAATGCAACCATTACAACAACACCCTAATAAATTTACATGGTACTTTCCAATTTTATCACTCACCTGATAAGAATAAGCAGCCGGCCTGTAGTAACTGCCGGTGTTTATAGCCGGGTAACTCTTGCTGCTTCCACACATAGAAGCCATCTTTCATCGATTCTCTTCTCCTTCACCACCACGATTTCTTGCTCCTCTTTTTTTCGCTCACGTTCGTCTTCCAGACAATGGGATCGTATCGACGCTGTCTCAAACGTTTCGAGACGTGTTCATTGTTGAGCTTTACAGTTCCTTTTTTCCCCTCCGTTTCCGCTCGAAAACGATTACACACCGATTGTTTCAGAAATAGACACGACGAAATATATTTCGTCTGAGACGACACACCTTCACTCGGGTTCGAGATCCTTTCTATCTACCATAGACCTACGATATTTTCACCATCAAGGTATTCAAGATTACGGTGAGCACGATTTTTTTCACTGTCCAGAACGGTCCCGTTAAGCACAGTTCCCAATAAATATTCATACGAAATTCTTCTTTCTCCCTCTTTTTATTCCCTTTCTATCTCTCGGATAGAGAGCAACCCATAAAAAGCCAGTTCATACTTTTCGTACCGATTTCAAATGAACTCGAATCATTTTTAATCTCATTTTCATACGTTTCAAACTTCACTTTATCTTAAAATATTCCGATATTACTTGATATTCAAACTTCTCTTATTCCTCGAACGACACCTTTCGATTCCTCTTTACATTCGACAATCGATCGATTAAACAATAATTTCCCATTCAAGATTATTTAACTATCTATAATCGAAATCAAACAATTTCCAAATTTCAATCCGAAAAACCACCAATTTTCTGATTATTTTATACAAATGTTATCAACCGTATAATGTTCATCGATCGTATACGATAAAAAGAGTGATAAGAATCGTATGTAGAAACTGATAGGATAGCGGTTTCTGTGAGAGAGAATCGAGAGACGAGGCAGAAAGCACGCGGCACCACGTCCTTTCTCCGAGACGGTTGACCACCGACTGACAGTAGGGGATCTTCACGCACCGCCGTTCTTCATCTTCATCCTTGCCGTTCGTGCGCTTATTCGACTGCTTCTTTAAACTGAGAGGGGTCAGCTTTGTCGGTTAAGCTTGCCTTCACGCTGCCTTCACTTTTTGGCGGGTTCTCGTGGGAACCAAACTCGGCTACCACTTTTCTTCCCTTAATTTTCATCGCTGCCTCTACCCATTCCTCTTCCTCCTCCTCCTCCTCCTCCTCTTCTTCTTCTTGGAAGGTTCTTTTCTTCGTTTCCTTCTCTTTATTCCTCTCCTTTCTTCGTTCCATCTTCGTTAGTTCCCTCGCGGTTCGAGAGTCTGGCGGGTTCGTGCCTCACGGTCTGCGTGCCAATTTGTTCCGATTTCTTTGCCATGTTTGCGACGAGAATCGACCGATTATCCGCGAAAAAGTAGTAAGAGATTCCGTGATAGTGTTTAGTTCGACGTCCCGTGTAATGAGAAAATAGCGTCTCGATGTCGATGTTCGTTCCACTGGTTACGCGAAGACTTCGATATATATATATATATGCAGTATATGCGTAGAGATCGGTGATTTCAATGCGCGCATGTGACGTGTCTCTCGAGCGTTGAAATTCCTGGCTACGTTGAAGAGGTTTGAACGTTACGGATATTTGGTTTGCGACGAGTAAATTGTGGATATTTATTTGAATGATAAAAATCTGCACATGACGTGCAAGAAAGTATGAAATATTTAAATATCCATAGATTATTATGCTCGAGGAATGAAGCAAATGTTTATGAAATATTTATTGAAAATTTAAATTTATATTCTATTTAAATCTGCGGATTAAGTGAAAAAATCAAAATTTCACGATTATTTTTTAAATAGTGAACAAATTTTACTTCAATTTATATTATTTATCG